AACTTGTAGATGCAATATGTGCTTGGGAATGAACACCATTGTTGCACGACTTACACTCATTTAGCACAGTGTGATGTGCCTTAGTGTCTTTATTTTTATCAGCCAATACTCCTGGAAATGTTTGATCGAAGTGATGCCAGTAACGATCAACCTTATGCCCATTTTCCCACACAACTGACATTGTCGAGGGCGACCACGACCACGACTTCCAGACTTACCACCCCCTATTATAACCACCAGCTCCATTGCCACTATACAACTGAGTTGTAGACCTGCCACTCTCACGATTACTACCACACTAGCTATATTCACACTCATAGGAAGAGACTGCTGAAGTTAAAACCATTCACTGAGACTCAATATCCATCAAGACTATTTTTAATTATCAACTGAAAATATGTGTTTGCTGGTTGTGATCACCGTCACAAATGATTGATATTCAATCGAGAGACTATTGAGAATAGTAACGATTTGTTCAAGATCAGAGATTGCACTCCCATACGTTGCAAGTGCATCACAAACGTATTTACTTGTAAGATAAGATCTTATACTATCATTACCTTTCTTGATGGATCTAAGTTTGCAATGCAAACTCATGACACTCGTGGTTGAGCGGTTAACAAAAATATTTGAACCGTTCGCCAAACATCAGCCGTCGTTTTAACACCTACAAACTGTGGCAAAAGAGGATCGCTAATTGTAGACAGCAGCCAGGACGCAAGAGCAATGTCCTGAGCAACAAAGCTTTCATAGTCGTCATTGACAACAAGTGCACCTGATTAATCAACAATTCACACTGGCAGTGGTAACAACTCTCCATTGAGTAGTTTTTCCCGCCTATGACTGCGAACCATGAGCAGCACTTGTTGTTTCCATAACAAGAAATTCGTCTCATCAAGCAAGATGTTGATCTTTTTATGCGTGAAATACTTGCCATTACGAACAGATTCACCAAGCTCAAAGGCAATGTTACCACAATCACCCATGGAAACTGCAGACTCCAGGATCAAATGGTGAAAGATACCATGTTGAAATATGCAGATAACATTACAACTAAAGAAACTTCATTCATTACCTCATATTGATCGAATACAAGGTATGTATACAACTCTACAACCACCAGCTTTCATTCTGGTATAACCAACTAACTGCCTCAACAAACTCTTCTAGAACCAATACTCTAAGTGCACAGCTGATTCTTCTAGACTCAACATTCTAGAATACTTCAATAATCCTTATATGATAGATTTTGTATCGTTGTTAAGTTCATAACATCTACGTTGATATTATGACTTGCGTAATCTAGATAGACCCCTTTTACAGTTTACTTCTGTCTCATTCTCTTAATAATGTTAATGATAAATTATTAAGCCAAACGTGATAGCTTAATAATTTCATGATACTTATAAAGCCACATTATCATTATGAAGTACGTGCATGCTAGACCTTACAAAGCATTGAAGTTTATAGTGTGCTTTACAATTGCCATGTTCAAAATATACCTATGATTTCTTTATGCCTCACTAATATTTGAAGTTTAGAATGTGTGTATTGTTCTTTCATTGCTTGATATATATAGGTGGTTTGAGTTAATTATGAATGATCAAATTGTTACATCAAAAGAAGGGTCACTGGATTAATTATAAATCGAAATTGTTACACCACGAAGAAGGATTATTGAATTACTCATAAATTGATCAAATTGTTACATCATAAGGATGGTCACCACAAGTATTAATGTAAAGACCATTTTTATTGTTGAGGTTAGTATGTGTGTGTTAGACATGTTCAATAGTCACCCATTTACTTATAAAGACATACGATGGTAATGATCTTATATGATTTTTTTGTGGCTTTTTAAGACATCCAGCAGTTATAATTCGAGACTTTTGTCTTTGGAATGTTTTTTTTGAATAATTGTCTTTGAAATGTCAAATGTATGGAATAGGACAAAAAACCATTGAATTGTCGTTTTTTGAAAAACAAATATTTAATTTGATTTTCAGCTAATTTGTCAAATAATATATATAAATGATGTTGTTTAATGAATGTTCCACATGCACACATATTTTGGATTTTGTAGGCACCCAATTGTCTACGGGGTGCAGTCAATCTAAAGACAAAGGCCATGACTTTATTGTTCATAATATTAATTAATCAAATAAATTATTAATGGTTACTTGTAATATAACATTGGATGAATCCCAAGTCCTCAAACATATATTACTATAATTCCTTAATAGACAAATCTAACCCATAAAAGAAGAGATCAATAGTTTATTAACAAAATTCTTTTATTTCCAAGGTTGTCATTTTATCAATGTATATATCTCATAAAACTTTATATTCATTGATAGATGACAATGACAAATATATTTTTATTTTTTTTTTGGAAAATTTATTATAATGATTAGTGTAAATTATGTGTTTAGTATTTAAAACTATCAGTTTTGGTTCGTTTAGTACCTAAACTTTTAATTTTTTCTTCAAATTATATTTAACTTTTAATTTTTGTTTCACTTTAGTATCAGCTATTAAAAACTTAAGGGACGAGCTCACCGGCCGTGTGTCTATAGTCGTTAGCGTTCGCATCTATCTGTCGGTGAAGTCCAAACTTTCAACCCTCACTTTCTCGACCCACTTAACGCGATTCCGATCTCCCAAATAGACGATGGACTCTTCGATTCCCTATCCTCCGATCTATGGTCTAGCGTCCGATGGGCTTGAAACTGGACTATGTGATCGGCTCGTTATTCTCTCATGGTCCACCGGAGCTATATCATGTCAGTTCGTCCGTTAAGTTTTTAACAATGAGGTACTAAATAAAACAAAAACTAAACATTATGTATGATTTTTTTTTAAAAAATTTTAAATACTAAAATATCAAAACTGATAATTTAAATATTAACACGTAATTTATCTAATCATTATTGTGGTTGATAAGTCAGGATCTGGATACATGATTACCGATGGTGATTATTAAACTAAAAAAATAGAATATTAGGGATAGATTGAGTGGGATGTTGAAAGAGAGTCGCTTTCGAAAATTTTAAATTCTTATATAATTTAATTATTATTTTTATATTAATAATAATTTTACACATTTAAAATTTTATAATTTTGTACCTCTAAATTTTTTATATAATATTTTTAAAGATCCACACTCATTATATAAAATCTACATCAATCTTTGAAAACACCGCTTGTATCAATAATGTAAGCCCAATAGTATCCTCCAAACAATGGATCAAAATCTAATGATTTTTGGAGGTCACTTTAGCTTAGACTTAAAGCCACATTAACTTAGAAGCTCCCTTTCTTTATCTTAAATATACATTAATATTTATTTAAAAACAAAGAGAATTTTCCAAATTTTATATATATGGCATAGGGAAGGGGTGATTATTGGTAGAGATAAGGTGTGTTTGTAGGGACACTAACTTTGGGGAGGGGACAAAGAAGAAACAATATACTTTCTTTCTTAATCTTTCTTTTGTCATTTGCATGAATTGGATTCCTTACAAAACTTATTTTTTTACGGTTGGAATCACTTGCTTCATTACATCAATCAATGTTGTATTTTCTTTTCCTAAAGTAACATTAAGGAATGATTTGGATGGTTAGGATTCACTTACGTCTGGTGTAAAACTTTAATTTTTAGGATCGTTAGATGAGGAGAAATCAAAGACTGAGATTACTCATTGTTTTTTTTATATCTTCTCATTTCTACTGTTAATCTCAACATTAGATCTCCTTATCCAATGATCCTAAAAAGATGTAAAACTTTTAAATTTTATATATAATTGGATCTTAACCATATATATATATATATATATACCCTTTTATTTATTTATTGGATCTTTATTATTTTAGCGTTTGAATTTAATATTTTATACAATTCATTTAAAAAAACATAGAATATTAAAGTTTCGGACAGATGAAGAGAAGATAGAATCAGGAGATCATGGTTTAGACTAAAAATTGATATTTTTATTATAATTAATCATTATTTTCGATCCACCAGCGACATCTCTAGATTTAGCCTTATCTTCTGAAATTTTAATGACTTCCACCATACACCATGCGGCCAAATAGGTCATATTTTATATGATAGTATACACATATTCATCAACTTAAGTTTTAAATACTATTTTAGGATTAGGTAACCACTGATGCAATTGATATCATATGAAATTTAAAAATAAATATTTTATATTTTAAATAATTATAAAATAATATATTTTAGAATCTTCAGTTTGAAAATATTTTTACTAATGAAAAGTGATTTTCCACCCATAAACAAGGTTAAACACTCAAAATTAGATTAAAATCATGATTGTAAAAGTGATTTTCAACCTAAACCATTAGCTCAAATTTTTAACTTTTGTGGTAGAAAACATTTTTGATGAAATTGTATTTTTTATTCTCAAATACTATATTTTCATGTTTAAAATCATATATATATCACTAAAATCACTTAATTAGTCAATATTTCATATTCAAACTAATCCAAATCATATATATATATATATATATATTATATTACAAGGTATTTTTTTGGGTAAACTATGTATTTAATCACTTATATGTTTCTATATTTCATTTAGTCGCTCAACTTTTTCTTTAAAATCATGCTTAATATTATATTTTTTGTTTCATTTTGATCACCACAATTTGATAAAGATAAAAAATTTTTATGTATATATTAAAATTTTAAATTTTTAATAATCAAATTAACACAAAGACTATAATTATCGGTGGGAAAGAAAAGATAGCAATTAGCAGGATGGATGGGTTTGACCAAATGTAATCAAGAAGGGTATTATAGTACTTTGAAAATTCCAATAATAGCATAAGTAACTTGCAAGACAACTCACAATGTTCTTTATTTGATGTTAAGGCCTAAGGGCATTAATAATTCAACACTTTTTTTATTATTTTAATCAATAAAATGATGCAGATGTTGATGTGACTCTTTACACAAAAGAATTAAATCAATTCATTGCTGTCTCATTTCCAATCGTCTTTTTATCTCAAAACTGGAACGTCTGTTTTTCTTTGTTTTTTTTATTTATTTTTAAAGTTGAATTTCCACCAGAGCTGAAGATTCCTTACAACAAGGTGACCCCATTGCTTTGACGTTGCAAGTGAATTTATTCTCGAATTGAATTTAAGGTCTGTTTTCTCTTGGCTGAATTTTCTGGAGCGGGGGGTTCTTGAATTTTGGTCTTTTGCTGGTTTAGCTTTCTTTTGGGTTGGAATTTTACTTGTTTTTTTTAATCCAAGTATGTATTCTTTCTGATGTTCAAAGTTCTGGGGTTTTTTTAATCTTCAAATTGGCTCTCATTTCTCTATCTGCCATGTTTATGGTTGATGTTTTATTCTGTTTGGTAGAAGGAATTATTGCAGACATTTGGTTGCTTACTGGGTTGTTCGTACTTGCAGAAATCCTGTTGGAAATGACAGAATTAGAGAAAAAGACAATGTTTTCATGAAGAAATCAATGAGCTTTTTCTCTCTCTTTCATTTAAAAAAACTTTAATAGTTTTGGATCAGTAAAAAGGAAAACTGATATTTCAATGTTAAAGCTCCTTCAGCTCTGCAAGAACCGGATGCCTGATGAAATGTTCAGTTTCTGGAAATGTGTTGCTAAATATCTCCAACTCTGACCTGAAATTGAAGCTTTTAATTGCAGTAAAAGTCATTTATGTGTAGACTGGAATTGAAGTTTTTAATTGTCATTGTAGATATTTTAAGCTAAATGTTGTTTGAATATCTAATTAATGTACTTATTTAGTCTCCTTCTGCTTCAAAAGATGTGTTCAATAGGTCAATGTGAGAAAAGAGTACAGCGGGTTAGATTATTTGAGGTGTAGTTTTCTGACTCTAAGGGAAATATTAGAGTAAGAAAAACTTCGTTTTGTTAACTTAAAACCTTCCAGATTGTGATTCCTCCATTTTTTAATCCGTATTCACGATATGTTTTGTATAAATTTTAGAGAAGAAGAAACTTCTGTTACAAACTAGGTGCTGCCATTATATCTGCTGAACTTGTTTCACATTTTGCAGATCATATTGAGATAGATGGAAAGAATCTTGATAGGGGTGAAGGATAATGGTAATGTTGATTTGTCTCTCATCTGTTTGCAGCCAGCGTGTAGCATGTAGAGAGAATCCATGGTTTTTAAAGTTATTGCTATTACGATCACGATGAAAATGCTGAATGCTGGAGTCAGACTGGAATTTTCATTTTAGTTCGAAACAATCCCGCCCCGCTCGAATCCATTGATCGCTCCAACCCTCACAAGGGGACAGAAACTGTTCCAAGTAAACTGTCCATCCATGCAAACATTCCAGCAACACAGAAGCTCAGTCATGGCAAGCAGATTGTACCGAAATATAAAGCAAGAAGTCAAACCTGTTCCCTATTGCTTTCCTCAACTCCCACCTATTGATCAATCTTTCTGCTATAGTGACAGCAGCCACGGATCCCACTTTTCTGTTAAGAATTCCCACGAACATTATTGCACTTTGGAGTCATCTTCTGCAATCATCAGTTATCCTGCGTACGACTCTTCATTAATTGTCGGTTTCTCACCAAATGGAAGCCCAATGTCACAGCAAGATTCTCAGTCATACCGATCCGATTTACATTACTCTCCTGATAATACCAATGGCTCTCCTATTAGTTGTTCCTGCATAACTGATGATGTAAGCGACTTGAGGGATAAGCTGAGAGAGCTGGAGACTGCGATGTTGGGGGCCTGATTCTGATGTTATTGACAGCACAACCTCACCAGAGATGGCCAGCTGGAGACTTGTAATGGATGCAATCTCCAGAGGGGACTTAAAGCAAGTCCTTGTCTCTTGTGCAAAAGCAATGTCGGATAATGATCTCTTGGTGGCACAGTGGTTAATGGATGAACTACGTCGAATGGTGTCGGTTTCTGGTGAGCCAATTCAGAGGTTGGGAGCATACATGTTGGAAGGGCTTGTGGCACGACTAACCTCCTCAGGGAGCTCAATCTATAAGGCTTTGCGATGCAAAGAACCAGAGAGTGCTGATCTACTATCTTACATGCACATTCTTTACGAGGTTTGCCCTTACTTAAAGTTCGGCTACATGTCTGCAAATGGAGCCATTGCAGAGGCCATGAAAGATGAAGATAGAGTTCATATTATCGATTTCCAAATAGCTCAGGGGAGTCAATGGATCACTCTCATCCAAGCATTTGCGGCTAGGCCTGGTGGACCACCCCACATCCGTATAACTGGTATTGATGATTCCACATCTGCACATGCACGCGGAGGAGGCCTAAACATCTTGGGGAAGAGGCTGTCCAAGCTTGCGAAGTACTTTAATGTGCCATTTGAATTCCATGCTGCTGCCCATGTCTGGTTGTGAGGTTCAGCGGGAACACCTTCAAGTTCAACCAGGAGAGGCTCTAGCCGTAAATTTTGCTTTCATGCTTCACCACATGCCCGATGAGAGCGTCAGCACTGAGAATCACCGTGACCGACTCTTGAGGCTGGTTAAGAGCCTGTCTCCAAAGGTTGTAACCCTAGTTGAGCAGGAATCAAACACAAATACTGCTCCATTCTTCCCAAGGTTCCTGGAGACATTGAACTATTACACAGCCATGTTTGAATCAATTGATGTAACTCTCGCCCGGGAACACAAAGAGCGGATCAATGTTGAACAGCAATGCCTGGCGAGGGATGTTGTTAACATAATAGCTTGTGAGGGAGGCGAGAGAGTGGAACGGCATGAACTCATGGGAAAATGGAGGTCAAGGTTCAGAATGGCAGGGTTCACTCCTTATCCTTTAAGCTCATTAGTTAATGCCACCATAAAACACTTCTTGAGAACTACTCTTATAGATATAGGCTTGAAGAGAGAGAGGGGGCTCTGTACCTTGGTTGGATGAACAGGGATTTGGTTGCTTCCTGTGCATGGAAGTGATTTACATTTTTGTCTTCTTTGCACTCTTTAATGTTGTCCTCACACACTTGAGAACAAGGGACTTCAATTAGTGTTAATTTTAGGAGCCTGGGACACTTTGGTACGAAGTCCTATAGCTCATAAATGGGGTTTTCTTTTACCATGTACTTCCTTGCAAAATCATAAGTTAGCCACCACCTTTGCAATCATCTATTTCCATTGTTTTCTTCAGTCTGCAAAGCTGTGCATTAGAAGGCCTATGGACAACGGAGATAGAAGATTAGAGCCATAAAACCTGTTCATAACCAATGAGAAAAATAACTGCAAGGATGCCATCGATAAAGATTAGCAATAACACATTCTATATCAAATCTTACTGTCAAATAAAATTGCTGCATTATTTAACAGGTTAATAAATTTTACACACATAGTTTGCTAAGATGGATATGAAGTTCAGCATCAACTTCAACACCCCAAATAGATCAATTTTAATACACTGCAATTTGCGACTATAACTAACCATCTGCCACATCTCAGCTTTGAACGGGCTCTGCATTTGGTTGCCGTTGCTTGTCAAAATCACACTCTGAATGTGGAGTGGTATGCACCATCTTATCAATGCAAACATCATTTTCTGATTTGGTTTCTGAATTGCTAACTGGTTGCTTGTTTAATGTACTTTGAGAACTTGATGTACCATGAACGATGATACAATGGTCAACTGCATCATTTTCCTTATTAGGATCAAGCTTCCCACTCTGTTGCTCGTTTGATCCACTTTCAAGTCGTAATATAGGTGTATCCATTGTACCAACACAAACAGTATCCCTTACTTCCGACTTAGTTCTTGACTCACCAGTCAATTTTTCACTTGATTTATTCTCAACTTTAAAATTAGGATGAACAATAATGTCAAGGCAGACGGTCTGACTTTCTTCCACCTTGGTGCTCGGTTTGTCATGATGAGATACTGAATGAACATTTACCCCCTCATAAGTAGTTATAACTGTCCTACTTGGGGGCAAATCATGGCCATGGCTTCCGTCGTAAGTAGTTATAACCAATTTAGCATCATGAGAAGCCCTCTCAACATGTTTCTTGACGGGGCATCCAGGAGTTGAGCACCTATAATAGCTCCTACACCACAAGAGAATAGCATGCCAAATTAATGCCAGAAGCCTCATTATGGATATATAGGTAAAACAAAGACAACTTTCTAAGATCATAAAAGTATTTACTATGCATCGACTACAATCTCAGCATTAGAGATGCAAAGACAGACATCTACAGCTGGGATAATACTGCTAATTACCATAGCAAATGAACAGAGATAAAATGTAAATTAGATAATTTTAGGTGTTTCAAATATGCATAAACAAAAATGAACTTAATACACACCTCGGATTTGGATTGCCTTTAACTAGTTTTTGCCCATATTTGCGCCAGCGGTACCCATCATTTACAATATCAACCTCACTCAGAGTCTTGATAACCGTATGTGATTCACTGGCTGGGTTCTCCACTGGAGATGCATCAGCATTTCGATTCTCTTTCTTCCTGTTTATATTTGATGACTGTTAACCAAAGCTTAAGAGGATATAGTACACACATGAGAAATAAACTAAGCTACCTTCGTTTTGAGATAAGATGATCATCATCACTGTCAGCAACATTTTGTATCCTATTTGATTTTGAAGATGTACTTTTAACATCTTCACTGACAGCACTAGCTAAAGGTTGAGAACCACCTGCTGGCTCTATTTGGGGAGGTGTTTGTGCATCCAATGACTCATCTTCAAATATGAGGTCAGTTATAAAAACGCAGTTTATCTTTATCACATCATACTAGTCATAAATGAATAATATGTTCTCCTTACCTTTGACAACAATTGCAGATGAATTATCTGGTCGTTCCTCAACAACAGATACACCAAAATCTACAGCTAGAGGAAGGTTCAGTGGCATTGGATGATCATGCTGACCAAAATAGACAATGTCAACCATTTTCCCATTGTGTGAATGTTCCAATTGCTTTTTCACTAGGCAGTTTGGATGTGTACATCTGTAATAACTTCGAATGAATTCATTTCCTTTAACAAGTTTCTGCCCGTATTTACGCCAATTATACCCATCCTCCGATGGTTTCTCACGTACTACAAGACTTCTCGCCTCCATACCAGGCAATGGAGAGGGAGTCAGTGACGTCATCTTGGTCATCATAGAGGGAGCATTTCCTAGTTTCTCCGATTGCGAAAGCAGGTTTTTCTCTGATTTAATTGAGAGGGCATCTCCTCCTTGATCAGATTGTGGTGAGGGAACTTTACTATCAGAATGTTGCAATGCCTTCTTTCCAGCATCCGGGCTCTGTAATTTATCTTTATCAATTTCATCTGGTACACAATGCTCTGAAGAAACCATCTGAAGTAAAGAGCCTCTTATCAGTTAAAGGTATTTCAACAAAACCCTAGGTTCCATTAAATTACGCCCTGTTGCTAGCCCGCACGTGGAAAAAGGCATTTGAAAAACAATAAAGTGTACATTACTTATGTAAAGGTATGTTAGTATACTATGTTGTTCTATTTCTTAATGTGTGCATAGAAAGTTCTAGGGTCTTGTAATTGCACCATTGTTGTTAGGATCAGTTGGAAACGGTTTGGAAGCAGTTAGGAAGTCTGTTAGTACACTGTTTTCTAAACCATCTCTAACTGATATCTCTCTTGTATAAATATGCTGGTCTCTTTATGAGATTTACAGCTTTCTATCAATAAAATCTTCTAGTCTTCTTAGCTTGAGATATTCTTCCTCTATTCTTGTCTAATCTCTAATATTTCTATCTTGAAATCCTATCAACTTAATGGCGATTTGATAATTCTGAAATGAACCAACTAAAGTGGAACAATCGTTAGTATTGAATTGCACATGAATTTAGAGAATACTAATCGTATCATATTGCGGCAGCTGATGATATCATGCTTAACTAAGATATAAGAACTTCAAAATCAACAAAATCTTCGGAAAAATGATGCATTCATAACCGTTTAAAAAAAACGTTGAGCACGACAGGAAATTCTTCAAAACGCCAAACAAACAGCTCCTAATTCAAATAGTAATAGAAGTATGGAATTTAAGAGTTTAAATTAAGAAAAACAAATAAAAATAATGTTCGTCCTTTTCTTCAACTAAAACAAACAACCAACAAATCACCAGGAAAATCTCACTATCAGAACGAAACTTGAATTTTTTTTTCACCTATGAGAATTTAGCTCAAGTACTATGGTTTTCCAAACTCCGTCACTCCTTTTCTTCGAATTTCTCAGCAACCAAAGAGAGTGCAAACAAATCAAGAACCACAATTTCAAGAGATACGCAGGGAAATGGTAAAGTCAATTCAATTCACACGAGAACAAACAAATTAGGTACATAAATTAAAAAGAAAAAAAACTGAACCAAGTAAATACAGTAGAAAAGGAAGAGCGAAAAAAAAGTATATCTATGCAAGTGTTTGCAGGAAACCTGGCAGTAGATCAAGCTATAAGAGTGGATCAGAGACGTAGATCAGGCGGGTTAATGGCGATTAGATAGAGGAAGTGAAAGTTGGTTAGATGAATGGTGGAAGTAGAATGGGGAAAGAGCGTTTCAGGTTTGTTATTCTGACGAAAGAAAAACAAAAAAAGGTCAGGCAAGGAAGAATAGCGTTGAGACAACTATAGTATACGGTCGGTAACACTCGAGTATTTGTGCGTTCTTTTGTCTTCATACGCTATCCAATTGTTATTAGGGTTAAATACCAATTCATCCACAAAACTATACCTTATTTAATAATGTGATCATTTAAGAAGCTTTTTTTCCTTAATTTATTCACTTAATTTTTTAGCATCGGTCACATCACCTAATAGATAATTTTTTTATTAGCGTGGACTGATTATAAGATAATATATGTTTGAAATACTATTAACTATTTGGTAATGAACGCTCAAACATCTATATAGACGACGTGTTCAAACTTGATACCTCTAAGAATAATAAATATTCCTTTAATCACTGAGGTTACTTGATTCATACTATAAGATAATTTTTCAAATAAACAAAAGGTTAATTCTTTTATTAGTTTTAGGGTAAACTACTTATTTAGTTATCTATCTATTTTTGTAGTTTCATTTTGGTCATTTAACTATTTTTATAAAATTATATCTAACGTTATATTTTGATTATTTGTCGTTAAAAAATAAACAGAACAATTAACGTGCTAATTTTCTTATTTTTTTTCAATGATGATGTGACATTATCTTATGGTGACATGTCAGAATTACCATTAATTTTTTAACGACGTATGACCAAAATAGAACTAAACAACGTTGTGTATGATTTTGAAAAAATAGAGTGATCAAAATGAAATCTTGAGAAAAAAGTGACAAAATATGTAATTTACCCTTATTTTTAATGGTGGGTTGTTCTGGTAAGCTGTAATCGGTATTGGGGGCTAATGAACGGCTGGAAAAGGCCCAGGCCCGCTTACGGAAAGTAGAAATGGAGGCGGATCAGTTTCGAGTGAATGGATACTCTGCGATAGAACGAGAAAAATTGAATTTGATTAATTCAACTTATAATATTTTTAAACAATTAAAACAAAAATAAAATCATTTATTTTGAACAACAAAGAGCGATTAAACAAGTCCGACAACGGGTTTTACAATAAGCTTGTTATTTGATTTTCATTATGCAGGGAGACAGCGGTGAAAAGGAGAGCAGCTTGCTGGTAATGGTATTATGGACAAGTTAAATATTGACTTTAATATTTGTGTTTTAAGGGTTTTTATTTCAGATTATTTTGTTTTTTTATTGATAAAATTTTATTTAGCTGGCGAAAAAAATATGAAATTGAATGAAAGAATATAATATTGGTGAGAAAATGTGGTAGGTTTTAAAAATATTTGAATATTTGATATTTTAAATATTTTTTAAAATTTATTCAAGCCAAGTTGAAAGTGGGTTTTTATATTTAAAATCAGGACGAGTGAAACACTACCAAAAATTAGAGTAGATAAAAGTCAGGTGAATATTTCTAATGTTTGGGTTAGAGTCGAGACGACAGAAAATCTAACCTATTATACTCGTCCTTAATTCTTCTCCATGTGTGATTGAATTAATAAATTTTTTTTGAACTTTTTTATATTAATTTTAGTTTAATAGAAGTATCTTTTGATTTGGTTT